ACATATATTTATGTACTTTTTTTGTGCTTATACGTATTTGTGTGTATGTGTGTATGCATGCATGTATATAGGTAGGTAGGTAGGTAGGTAGGTAGGTAGGTAGGTAGGTAGGTAGGTAGGTAGGTTAGGTAGGTTAGGTAGGTTAGGTAGGTTAGGTAGTTAGGTAGTTAGGTAGTTAGGTAGGTAGGTAGGTAGGTAGGTAGGTAGGTAGGTAGGTAGGTAGGTAGTACGTGTGTGTGTGTGTGTCTCTCTCTCTCTCTCTATATATATATATATATGTACACATACAGATACAATTCAGATACACATGCACACAGTTGCACACAGATAGGTAGGTCTCTGCATGCCTGTTGGGCTTGCTGTTTCCTCTGTCGTATGTTTTTTGATGTTCGTTGCGCCCAACATTTGCAAAAAGTGCTTCCGTCGAATCCCCTGTTCCTCTGTCGTCTATCTATGTATCTATCTATCTATCTATCTATCTATCTGCTGGCTATTCGCCTATCTCTCTCGTGCACAACAAAGGCACCAAGAGCTCGTGCAAATACACAACTACAAGAAGATGGAGAGCCTGAGGGCGAAGGAGACAAACAGCAGAAATCAAACGTTTAGATAGGTGGTACTTACAAGCTCGAGCAGAGTATCAAACCTTTAGGTACGACTTTGACCCAACTGACACTGTCCTCTTGCCCTGAGCCCGAAGCCCTCAGCTGACCTGGAGTCGTAACCCCGGAGCTTTAAATTCTGAAAGCCACAACATACATGGCCATTAGACCACAATGCAAAGCCTCACTGCCTCACTACCCGAGACTGCCTCCGCCTTTCGCTCGATGCCCTGGAGCACCTCGTGGAAGGTCAGCGGGGGACGCTCTCCATGGAAGAAGTCCTGTAGGTACGACTTAGGGATCCCTATGCGGGTCAGAAACCCAAACTGGCACAAAGTCCTAAGTATATCATATCATGAAACTTAAATGCCCCAGTCTGTTGAGGGCTGCCCTACAACATCCCCCGGTCCCCTGCGACACCCTGCGAAACCAAGAACACACCACCATGAAACTCAACAGAAGCCGGGCTAGCGGCTAGAACCCGGTTATAACCTCGCAACCCAAACAAGACAGCTTCCCAAGCCTGCACAACCTCACCGAAACATACTACCAACTACAAGGCCAACATACATAAAAATAACGAACCACTTCTCAAAGTCGGGCACCCATACCCTCATGAACCTTGCAAGCTTTATAAACCCTTAACTCCGTTTGGCCCCATCAGCCGTATCCCCTTCTGGCCTTGCTCAGCCGCTCCTCGAGCTGATCGAGGCGCCCACTTGGAGCCTTGTGCTCGAGCTGCTCACCTCCCGGCTGTCGGGTCCTTCTACTGAAAAGGGGGGGGGGGTGAGAAGAGTTAGGGATATGGGCCCTGGAGCTACAGTGTTGTAAAGTTTAAAGGTTCTTTTGAGGGTTTGTGTTGCTTGTCTATCCGCGGGCTAAGTGCCGGAGTTTAACTCGAGGCTTAAGCTCCTTCTGTGTAAAAGATTGGTTGCAGGGATTTGCAGGGTGTAGGTTTGCGGCATCTTGTTTACACGGGCTTTTGATGGCTTGGAAGGTCTGGGGAATTGCGGTGGTTAGAGCTCACATGTCGGAAGGATTTGGAGCGAGGAGGGTGGAAGGGACACCAGGGATGCTCTCAAAGACAGCTCTGGCTGCAGAAGAATATTGTTGGACGTCTTTTGCTGAGTCAGCATCCCGCCGTAGAAAGCCAAGGTGGCAGAGCCACTGGGGAGCTTATGCTGGGACTTGCAACGATCGAAGACTTCTATCCTGCGGTGTCTGCCCCATCCGGTCTGTGAAAGAAGCCACTCCGCAATGCCACCACACGACCACATAGACCGTCCTTCAAGAAAACTAGTGTACACATGTGACTCCCATCCAGCCTCAACTTCAGGCAGACTGTTCGTGTGTTGGGTCAGCCAGCTGGGCTTTCAGGCACGACAGCTTGCTTTGGGGCCAGGGCTCTATGCGCAAGGTGTAGGCTGACAAAGCTGAAATCCGAAAGCTCTTGAAACCCTGGGGTGAGTGCTCAGGATATGAGGATCGCTGGTCCGGGAGGGCCTATTCTGGTGATCTTCTGCATCGCAGTAGTCATGAACCTCAGCCGCTTTTTTGACGAGCACTAGGCACACGAATCTGGATCATGGCCGCTTGGCTTTGGGGCGTGGGCTGAAAGCCGAGTCCTTAGGCTGCCTGATAGGATGTTAAAGGGCATTCGGCAGCTCGAACATTTTGCACTAGCATTGGGAAGCTAACACATCAGGCTAAGGTTCGAGCACGACAGTCCGAATGACAAACACAAAACTTGCAGTTGCTGAACAGCCAACGAGCACCACACCACGAATTCTTTCAAATTGAAGCGCATTTCGAACTCAGCACTGATACCGATAACAACCTAACATACTGTAGGGCTTTGATAATTGCAATATTGTCTTGATTATCCCCTCAGGGTCCATTGTGTACTATACCATGCATCAAAAGTCTTGGGCTTTAATACAGCCAATATCACCATATGACTGTAGTGGGTCCATATTTCGAGATAGGGTCTGCTCCCTGAACCTGCGATTGGACTGTAGGTGCTACTGAGCACAACACCAAGACCCTACATCCTCGATCCATATGCCAGAACCATCAGAGCATTTCACTCCACAAGTGTCCGAACTCCCGCAACAGATCAGAGCTCCCGCCCAAATACAAAAAGCTCCTGCTCCCAAAACACCCCCGTGAGGAGAGAAGGTCACGTCTAAGCTGCTGGCTCCGAGGTCTCGCGGTCCTTTTCTTTGTCTTTGTTTGGGGGGTTGTATGCTGTGGCTCCAGATTTATCAAACATTTCGTTCTACGTATAAGCGCTTGAGTTCACGAGGCCCAAGGCCTGTAACTCCAACCCGTCCAGCTCCGGTTTCGAGCACCTGGCTCTGAGACCAGCCTCCAGCTGTCCAAGCAAGAGCCCAGGAGCACAGGTATACCAACCAGGTGCCCTTCTAGTCGGATGTCTGCACTCACTGTTGGACGAGTCGTCACAATGCAAAGGGTTTGGAGCTGGGCTTATTGCTTTGGTGGCTTGGGCATGTACAGGGGTGTTTTTGCTATTCTCGCCTTCGGACCAACCTAGCAGGCTTGCTGGCGGCTTTGCGGCAGCAAGCAGCGAGACCAGCCGAGCAGCTGTCGCACGAACTTCAGCGATGCACGTCTAGGGCTGTAGGTTATCGAAAATTCCTTGGGGAGGTTTAATTAATTAGGATAGGCCTTGCCCAGTTTGGCTAATTGCACCACCACCGCGCAACCGTGGCCCAATAAAGGGGGGGGAAACCCACACCACAGGAAACCATAGTGGGCCGGGGGATACCGTGTGGTGGGGAGGGGATGCCTAGCAGCGCTGCACCAGGTTTTGGGCTATAGTTGGTCTGTGGTGGTGTACTTACCCAAACTGGGCAAGGCCCATCCTAACTGGTTTCAGGGTTTGGTGTGACTTCGCACGAGGAGCTCAGTTTATCTTGGATTCCAGGCTGGAGATCATTGGTCCTAACCTGCCATGTCCTTTTTTGAAATGCCTTGCAAAGCTGCGCGCTAGGCCCAGTGCTTCGGGCCGAAGAGTCTCAAGGAAAGGATATGCTTCAGCTCCCCTTTGGCTTTGGATCTACGGAAATTCTCCAACTTCAAGCCCTAGCTAAACGACTCAAGCACTTGGTTTCCGCATGGGAAACCCTTGGAAACAAAGCCAGATTTACTCCAAACTCCCAGAGATTCGGGAGTTCCAGACGAGGATACAAACATAGACTCCAGGTAGACGGACTTATCATCATTTTCACAAGGACACATACGCACCCCATACATAGAACCCGGCCCTGTCGTCCGGGCCCTGAGGAAACAGGTCCACTGGAGCTTTTTAGAGCCTTCACAATGGAGTTGAAAAGAGGAACCTCGAGATCTTGGCGATTGGAAACTCCTAGGTGTTGCCTCTGCACAGAGGTTGCTCATGGAATGCCTGGAATCGCGTTCTTGCCGGGCTTGTGCCGGGACTTAACACTTGCGGCCACACTTCCTTGGTAACCGACTACATTCACCCATTGTAACAACGATTAAGCGCCAGCCTTCCCGGGGCCATTGTTATGCGTTCCAAAACCCTCCTCTTAAACGGGTTCTACGTTGCACTATTGAAGTGAAGCCTTTTGGGTTCCCAAGGTCGTCGAGGCCCCCACGAGCTGGTCCACCTTTTGTGCTAGGCCGTGCCCCAAGCTCCCCAGTTGCGATCGCATCCTTGGCAGAAGGATCGGATGCCTCTCTTCAGCCAAGGTATAATGTAGGGTCTGGTTCTGACACACTCGAACCAGCCAGGCAAGGTTTGGGAAGTTTAGGGCTGCGGGTTCTTGAGGGTTGGGGCTCCGATGGAGTAGAAGCCGCGGACGGAACATCGCAATCGGGCGATTTATGATTTTCTTCGTCGTCTCCTAAGCTTGGATTGGGGTTGGGGGATAGAGTGGCTCTTGCCTCACCAGTAGGGTGTGAGGTTGACAGGCTTTGGACTTTCGCACTTTGGACTGTCCGGGCGAGGCTTCTGTGAACGAAGGGGTGGGACTCAGGGTTTTGGGGTGAAGCAATGCTCTCCAAAACTATATATATATATATATATATGTGGCAGGAACCTTTACGTATAATGTGACGTGTCCCTTGTGTTACATTACAGGAAGGACTTATGTGATAACATACGGTACGCACTCACACATGTTGACACACACACACACACAGATATCCTCGCATGAACACCATATACCAAGTTCGTTTCCATGAAAGAAACCAGGAATCTAGGAGAGTAGCCTTATAGAGCACCCCCTACATGCCTCATACCTCAGATATACCTGGTTGAATATCCGACAACCTGTAGAAGCTATAACAGAATACCCTGTAGAATACCTTACAGATCAAGCATGTAAATGGGTGAAAACAAGCTCTCCCCTGTTGAATTGCAGTTCATTCAGCAAAGCTTTTTTAGTAGCGGACTTTTGCAGTACCCCCCTATACATACCCTATAGAGTACGCTTCAGAATACCTTATAAAATACTTCCCCCGTCTACCCTGCATGTACCTAGTAGCATACCATCTGGAATATGTTGTGTGACGCAGGGGTGACCCACCACAGGCAAACCCAAACCCACACCACGTCACCGGGGGAATGTGGCAACCACCCCAAGCAGACCCAACCCCGAACCACACCACCCACAGAAAGGGCCGACACAACTCACAACCACACCACACCACAGGGGGATGGAACCATTGGGGTGGTGGGGGAGGGGGGGGGGGTCCGGCCGCACCTCGGTTCACCGAGTAACCCGCAACCACAGCACACCACAAGAGGGTGCAACCGTCCGGTGTTCCTGGCCCCGCCCAGTGGCAGAAGGAGGGTTGGGTGCTGCTCACAGACAAACCCGGGATCTTACGCAAGTCCTACGCATGCCATCAACAATAACCACAATAATGACGTAGTTGTTAACCTTAACCTGTACCTTAAACCCTACCCTCCCGTAGCCCTTGTTGACTATATGCCTTTTAACATTGAACCCTCAACAAGCTAAACCTTCCAAAACCCCAAAACCTCCCCACAGGGGGAAGAGGGACCCCACACCCGACCCAACATGCACATCCTGGACCATGGACCATGGGGGGGGGGGGGGGGGGGCGCGGAGTGCCTGACCATATATGACACCCCATGCAAACCGCATATGTTGCTGATGAGTCTATAGGTACGGCTTTATGTAGGGAATAATAGGGCTTTATTCAGGGAATATAGGAGGAGCGCAAGATGTGCGATTTTCACAGGGATTCTCGGACGGACATCAAGAACGTAGAAGAATAACACAAAAACATTATAGCCTACGTCTCATATAGAGTAACCTGCCGAATACTTTATAGAATACCCCCTATATACCTCATGTATACCTTATTGAGTACCTATAGCCTCTAGAATACCTGCGGAATACCTTCAAGAATACCACCTATATGTACCTTATAGAATAATCTGTAGAATACCTTAAAGATAAAGTATGTACGTAGCGAGAATCAGGAGGAACCCAAGATCTGAGAATTCCCCTTTGAATTGCAGGTTATTGAGCAAGCAAGAACTCCTCGAACAAATCAAAACTTATTTAGTATAGGACTTTTGCAGAGAATACCTGAATACCTTATAAAATACCCCTGTACATACCCTATAGGACACATGTTACAATTCCTTGTGGAATAACCTATAGAGTACGCTTTAAAATACCTTATGGAATGCTCTACACAACTCCCCCCATATACGCTGTATATACCGTGTAGAAAACCATCTGGAATATGCTGTAGACTACCTCATAGAAGAGACCCTATATGTGAAACCCCCTGTATACCATATATAACCCTTATAGAATGCCCTAAGCACTGAGGGGTCGTAGGTTACGTCGGCAAGCAAGATGAAAGCGTAAAAAAATTCTGCAAGGTATGGAACACGGCTTAAGGGTGGCTCAGCGGCCCGTCTTGCTACTAGCGTTGGGGTTATCTCACATCAGCTGGTGAGAATACACATCAATGTCGGCAGACG